ACACCTCCCGGCTGGTTCACTTTCATCGTAGCAGCTACAGTCAGATGCTCCACAGTCAGATGCTCAAGCGCCCTGAGGCTCAGATGACCAGGCATGAGGGACTGAGCGCATCTTCCACCAAGTCCCTATTTTTAGCTCTTTCTGCCCTTGCTGCTGTCCTTGGACGGCCGGGGCGGTGGCGAGGGACTCTGCTGTGCTCCGGCCGTTGAAACCGTTTGATGCAGAGGTCATAGGTGCCCAGACACGGATGCACATTTATATGTGGGTGGGGAACTAGAGAAACTAATTTGTCTTTCTGCTACGGTCTTATTGGAAATGCCTCTCGCCGGCAGAAGCACTTGTGTCCATCCCGAAGGCTCTACACGGAGAGATTGCCTGAAGAATATAGAAACACCCGTTCACAAACACAGACACTGTCCCGTATTCATTGCAAGGTTATTGGAAATAGCCGCGGCGTGGACACCATCTAAGTGACCCAGGCAGGTGACTGGATAAAGAAGGTACGATCGGTCAACCCAGTGGAATACTACTCAGCCATGAAAAAGGAGCGCACCCGCCATTTGTCAGGATGCGGATAGACTTGAAGGGGGTGATGCGAAGAGAAATGTCAGAGGAGCAAGTCACAAAGTGAGTAGCTTCAGGCAGAGCAGCAAAACTTAGTCGTGTGTGCAATATAAAGAAGCACAACGTAAGACTAAACAGAACAAAACTGACCCCTTGGACTCTGAGAACAAAATAGCGGTCACCGGAGAAGAAACCAGTGGGTGGGGACTTTGACGTGGTCTCTATGGCCGTGGACTTGAGCAACCACGTTCCTCAAATGGACTCAGTCTCGTCAACCAGCGACAACATCAACATGGCGGCTGTCTCTTGGGGTGAAGAGAAATCAAACACGATGCTCTGGACCCTATTCTTCGTCGTCATTACCCGCCCACCCCCCGGATAACAGCCACTCATGGCCGCCCGGAGCTGTAGAGTTGTTTTTTTTATAGGTCTGGAAATACTTGTATATGAGTCCTCTGGCTCCATGGCGTCCACTCCAGTTGCTCTGCTGGCCTCTCCTTGATGCTGGAGGCAGGAGGGGACGGGCGACCTTCTAGGACTGACTCCTTCCAGCCGGCTGCAGCCTTCGGACTCTCGGCGTGGTGCCCGGCTCGCCCAGGATCAGAACCCCGGGCCTCTCAACGGAGTGTCCCCTCCTCCACGTTGCCGAGGACCCATATCACCTATTCCAGGGGCATCAGTTTGCCCTTGGCGGTGTGTCGGCGACATCCCCAAGTCTCCTCGGCAACCTCTGTTGTCCGCCATATGCCGCATCCCGGGAACCGGGCTTTGGTATTTGTTGAGCCCCTCGAGCAAGCCTGGGGGTCACTCAACCTCACGCTGAGACCGGTGGGGGCATCGACATTATATTCCTTAGAATATAATGAGGACTTGGCGTCCATCCAGATCCAAGAAGGGTCTGAATCTGAATCTCGCTCCAGCAATAACTGCCACCGCTTCGGCGCGGAGAGATCCCTTCCGTATCAAGCGGCGGGTTCAGGAGCAGAAATTCACACCCCCCAGCTGCTGTGTTGAGGACTGAGGCCCGGAGGGAGCTTGGAAACGTTTTAGTTTTGGGAATTAATATAATGGAAACTCGAAATTGTGCCGATGAAGGTAACGTCGGCTTTGCTCTTTGAATTCAAGCCTCTACAAACGTCGAGGCCACGGCTGGCCACCAGCTGTGCCCTGTCAGCCCTCCGCCATGGGGCCACGGCCCTCCCCATCTTGTTGCCTCAATTCCCCAGCCGGATAGTGACAATTTACTACAGTTTGATTCTGTCTGGCTGTTGCCTCTGCCTCTAACCCCACATATAAATGACGCCACCCAGCTGTGTCTTTCTGCCCTGACTTATTTCACTCAACACCACCCCTTGCGGTTCTACCATGTTGTCACAAACTGCAGGATTCCCTCCTTTTTCATGACCGAGTAGTATTCCACCGGCTAGTATTCCACCAGCTCGTTCTGACCCACTTCTTGGACCTTAAGCACTTGTTTCCATAACTGGGCTGTCGTCAGTGGTTCTGCGCCTAGGAGTGCACACGTTCCTTTGAAATAGTGGCTTTTGTATTCTTTGTGGAGTCACCTCACTGGGGAATGGCCGGGCCGTGCACCGGCTCCAGAAGGGGATGCTTGGACCCGTGTGATCGAGGCAGCCTTGGGGCTGCTTGTCAAGGCGTGGAGGCTGCTGGGCTTTGCCTGGCTGGTGCAGGGCTGCAGGGCCCCACCCGGCCCCCCTGGAACAAATCCTCAAACGGTCATCCTGGGAGCCCTGGGGCGAGGCTGTGCTGCTGGGGAGCCCGGAGCCATCCGGCTGAGTCAGCTCCCTCCTTCCTGGGCGAGAGGGGCTTAACGAGAGCTAATTATACCGCCCCCTCCCCAGCCTGGCCCCCACATAGCCCTGCATGAAAAGGGGCTTTCTCCCCGCCAAGCCCCTTTCTTGTTATGGGAAACCTTGCAGAAAGGTTCGGCGGTGAATGCTGCCGAGCGCTGCCTTGGCATCCGCACGAATCCGTAATTGCTAATTAAGTCCAAGAGGGCTTGCGGGTGGCTGCTTCCCACCGTCCACAGCTGATCTGCTCCCCTTCCCCCTGCTCTCAAGCTTCTCGGCATTTGCAAAGCTTTTCATTGACGGAGTGCTGGTGTGCAACGGTGTTGGGGGTTCTGGGGTGCAGCCTTAGCATCGCCACGGCTGTGTCTGCATCACAGAGCTCACCCCACAAAGGCCTTGCAGACAACCAGCCCCCTTCCCTGCTGCTAACTCATTATCTTGCCCTGTGTCCCAAGCACCTCAGGCACCCCTTGTGGGGTGTCGTGTTGCATCTCTCCGGGAGATGAGACCCTGCATGTTGCAATTTTAAAACAAAAATAAGAGGCAGCCTTTCTTCTGCCTTTGCATCCATTTCTGAACGCCCACCCCCCAGCCCTGCACCCTCCGTCCACGGGGATTTAGGGTCGAGAAGGCGCTCGGGGTTGCTGCTGCTTGCCTGGGGGTGCGTCACAAGAGACTCTTCAGCCTCACACTCTCCGTCTGCTGCAAGCAGCTCCGTCCCAGGGATGAAGGTGGACCACGGAGCGGAGACTCGGGAAGGGCCTTTCGGCAGCGGAGCCGAGTGTGGGTGGCGAGGGCTTCTGAAGACGTGGCTTCTTCGAGGAGGCCTTGACCACAGGGATCTGCTCATAAAGTTGGGTGGACGTTTGGGCCAGGAGTGGACCTCGAGGGCCCTTCAGGAGAGGCTCCCGGCCCTGGATTCGAGCACACTCACAGCCTCTGCAGGGTCGATACCAGCGGGCGGCATTTGTCCAGGTGGAGATCTTTAGCGACATGAGCGAGGAAATAAGACCCACCCGTTTGCCTCAATAAAAGCCCATATCAGGCCTCCCTGGTGGTGCCAGGAGTTAAGTCTCAGCACTGTGAGGCTGTCGGCAGCCTCTGCAGCACGAGTTCCATCCCCAACCGGCCAGGGAGCTACCCACACGGCGCAGCAGACCCCTCCTGTCTCCCCGCTGCTCCCCTCACCTGTGTGTTTCAGTAGATGCACCTGTTCTGCTCCCCGCTCTGTCTCTGGTGAGTCCTCTCACCCCCCCACACCTCTGCCCTGCACCCCAGCTCTTGTGTGCATCACTAAACAAATCTTTGCACAAAAATAAATAAAACCCCACATCGCCTTACTTCTTGGGATGCAGAATTTTGCACCTGGCACGGATCCAAGATGCTCCATTCACTGAATCCTTGTGTGTTTGTTTGAAATAAAGCGTGTCTGTGGCAGCTCACCCTGGAGGAGATTTGAATACGCTTTGGCTTTGGGGCCAAGATCAAAGGATTCCAGGTTCTGTGCGCCATGGATTTTTTTTTTTTTTTTGCATCTATAAATCTTGAGGGGCCCCACGCCATGAAGACGGGATCTCATCGAGTCTCCGATTGAGTCTGCAGCTTCAGCCTTACGGGGATTATTGCTCCAAACTCTGCGTATTTAAATCTCATGGAAAGATTTAATGGAAAGTGGTATTTACTTCAGAGCAAGGGAGTCATGAGGAAGGGAACCCTCAGGGAGAAGCTCTCACGTTTGCGGACCATCTTACGAGACACCCATGCAAAATATCCCCCGACACCCCTTTATTTCCCCTGCAAAACGAGGGTGTCTTGCATTTTGCCAGAGAAAATAGACATCGGTGTGTAGCAGGGAGGGTCCCCAGCCAAGGGAGGGGGAGCTGGGCAGGGAGTAGAGGCTGGAGAGGAGCCTGGGGAAGGAAAGAGGCAGGATGGGGAGGCAGGAGAAGGTCTGGGGGAGGCCCGTGGGGCAGAGACCCCGACTTCTCGGCCTTAGACTTGCCCGGGGACGGGGCGTGAACTCTTGGCAGAGACAGAGGCGCTGGGAGTGGCCCGTGGGGGGGTGACCCCTGCGGACTTTGTCTTGACATTGGTTGGATTTGGCTCCTTGGCTCCCAGCCCTGCCTGACCCCCCCTGCCCCTGTCCTGTGGGTCCCCCAGAAGGAGGCTTAGATGTGGGGGACACTCTTTGGGCTCAGGGGCTCTGCTCTGGGCCACCCTGCTGGGCTGGACACTGACCCCCGAGGGCATGGCGACTTTGCAAGCTTGGTTTGGAGACTCGTGATATTCAAGTTCTGTTCCATAGAAGCTCTTGTGTTGATGCAGCGGGCACAGAACCTATTAGTGCAGGCAGCTTGGGGGTGCAGGCCCTCCCCGCCAGCCCACACGCCCCGGAGTCCATCCCCGGGCAGCACACGCTGTGCCCTGGGTGTGGCCGCATCATCAGTGTCTGCGTCCATCTCGCGTAGGTAGGGGCGAGGCCCCCGCAGGTGTCCACGGCTACCAGGAGGCCCCCCCAGCGGCGTCCAGCCAGCGGCTTCTCCCCGGGAGCCAAGGAGCGAATCGGCGCCTGCGTGCGCTACCCGCCGCCCACCCCGTGCGCTGACCACCCTGTCCTCCCTGCAGGGTTTCTGAGCACCGGCGACCAGGCGGCCAAGGGCAACTATGGCCTCCTGGACCAGATCCAGGCGCTGCGGTGGATCGAGGAGAACGTGGGGGCCTTCGGGGGTGACCCCAAGCGAGTGACCATCTTCGGCTCGGGCGCCGGCGCCTCCTGTGTCAGCCTGCTGACGCTGTCGCACTACTCGGAAGGTAAGGGGAGGCTAGAGCCGGACTTGTGGGTGTCAGGATGGAGGGCAGGGGAGACAGGATGGAGAGACAGATGGAGGGTCATGGAGGGAGAACCCCAGCACCTCCTGGACCCTGCAGGAGAGGCTCAGGCTGCACCAGGTGAACCCCCTCCTGGCCATCGCTGCCTCCCGGCCTCCTGGCCGCGCAATGGGGTGGGAGAGTCCGAGACGGTCCTCAGGGAGTGCAGTCCCGCCCTGGGCTCTCCGGCTCTCCCCTCAGGGGCTCCCGAAGCAGGAAAACCAGCCCCAGGCACCGCGGCAAGCCTGGAGCACGTCCCAGCCACCTCCAGCTTCCAGACCCTTCTGCATCCTTCCATGCCCGAGCTGGCTCCATCCGCTCTGGACTGTGCGAGAAAAGCGCAGATGTCTTTAAGGAATTGTTTTTAGAGAGTGTCCTGTCCAGCCAGAGCTGCCGTTATGGGCTGACGTTTGTACCGACCCTTTATTGTAAAAGAGGGGAGAACAGGACTGTCAATTCTCGGAGCAGAAGACACCCACACGTTCTCTTTTCTCGATGCGTACGCAGTTCTCGGTGGGGAAAGGAATCTGGACCGTGTCCACCAATGGCCAGTCCCAGGCTAGTGCACGCTCTTGGGGGGGACAGTGTCAGACACTGAAATCAGTGACTTGGAGGTGACTGTCCAGCTGTGATGCCTGGCACGGTCACTTCTGCAAAGAGCTCCTCAGAACGACTCAGGAATAGCAGAATGACCTGCGCTAGCGCCGAGGGCTGCTGCTGACGACGTGGAAATCCCAGAGTGCACATAAGTGCATGTCTGTGAAGACGCTCATCACGGTAGTATCGTAGCAAAGGCTCACACAAAAAACTGAAAGGTCCCAGTGGGAAGGTGGATGTGCATTAGCTCAGAGGATAGTCTGACTGTCAGGAGTGGGGCTTCCAGAGTGCAGCGACCCCAGATGACAAGGAACAATGCTGTGGATACTGTCAGCAGACACCAGACACCGTGGGGCCAGGGCTGCCCCGTGCAAATCAAACTGAGACTTGCAAGTGACTTGTATTTCATAGTAGGCATTAGAAGCGACGGTTTTTCTTTATCTGACTTGTATATTTTTATCTGGGATTATATTTCTTCCTTAATGTAGATGGAATCATATGGTGCCTTCCCCAGATAACAGATAGATACACAATAACTTTCTAATAGAGAGAGGGATGGTGCATAATTACCTCCCTAGGAAATAGAGGGATGAGAGTTTGATAGGTGGGTTGCTGGGTGGGCGGATGGATGGATGGATGATGGATGGAGGAACAGATGGATAGATGGACTAGGCAGACAGATGGATAAATGGAAGATTGGATGGATGGGTGGATGGATGCATAGATGGATAGATAGACACACAGACAGGTGGATAGATAGAGAATTGGATGGATGAATGGATAGATGGATGGATGGACTAGACAGAGAGATGGATAAATAGAAGATTGGATGGATGGATGGATGGATGGATGGATGGATGGATGGATGGATGGATGGATGGATGGACTAGACACAGAGATGGATAAATAGAAGATTGGATGGATGGATGGATGGATAGTTGAATAGATAGATACACAGACAGATGGATAGATAGAAAATTGGATGGATGGATGGATGAATGGATAGATGGATGGATGGATTAGGCAGACAGATGGATAAATAGAAAATTGGATGGATAGATTATGGATGCATGGACAAATAGATGGATAGATGGAGTAGGCAGACAGATGGATAAATAGAAGATTGGATGGATGGATAGATGATGGATGGTGGATGGATAGATGAATAGATAGAAACACAGACAGACGGATAGATAGAAAATTGGATGGATGGATGGATAGATGGATGGATAGATGGATGGATAGGATTTGCAGATGATGGATGGATGGATGATGAGAGAGAGAGATAGATGGATAGATAGACAGACAGATGGATAGACAGATAGATGGATAGACAGACAGATGGGTAGATAGATGGGTAGACAGAAGATTGAATTGCTGGATGTCTAGCCGGAGAGATTAGGCGGGTGCAGAGGTGGGTAGATGGATACGTAGGAAATTGGGTGGACGGATGGACCATTCAAGCGGCCTTTTCTGGTCATAACCGTTTTGACCTGTCGACGCCTTCGACAGCTGAAGTGCTGACATCGCTTCTCTACGGCTCAACAGACTCTAGAGCCAAAGACACAAGACAGCCCTGCACTTGCCGAAAGAGTCATAAACCCTAGGAAGCTGGCACCAGGTGGGCGTGCTGGTGCGAGGGGCAGAGCCGCTGGGTCACACCCGCCTCCCGCGTGCTGCCGGTGGCCGCGGAGGTCTCAGCCTTGACTGTGGCGTGAGCTTGAAACCGAGTGGGCTTGTGGCCGCCCGCGCGTGTTCTCCAGCTGCCACGAGGCGTTCCAGCGGGAGCTCCTGGGCTTGCAGGGAGCCCCGGGAAGATTCGGTGCCGCTCGCCTGAACCCGCTTGTCCTGCGGTATTTAAACACAGGATTCATTTCCCCGCAACCCCAGGCAGCCGTGCACTCATGTGACCGGGCAGCAAACATCCATCTTCCCGCAGACCGCCCCACGCAGGCAGATGAGTTTCAAGTGGGAGAATCCTTTTCCCCGCGCTGGATTTTGAACGGGCATCATTTTGAAATCGATGCTTTTTGGAGGAAAAACCCCTGCGGGCCCGGCCTCGCACTGCAGATCCTTCAAGAAGCGCCGATGCAATGGCTATCTCCATTGTCTGAATCTAAGACTTTCCCTCGAGGGCGGGCGCTGCCTGAGCACTCCCAGCCCGGCCTCCGTGCTCTGAAACCGGGCTCCGCGGGGTCTTCCCCGCCCCAGGAAGCGCCACCTGGCTGCGCAAGCAAGCGAGGCAGGCCGCCTTTGGCCTCAGATGGGGGCGGCGCATATTTTCACAGGCTGGGGAGGGGGGCGGCGGGGCGAGCTTGCATTTGCAGCCTCTGCAGCCCAGGAAAGAAATACTCCAGCCGATGGCGGGAGGGCGTAGCGCTCAATGCACTTTCGTTTCTTACAGTTTTTCTGGGGGGTGTGTGTGTGAGAGAGAGAGAGAGAGGGAGGCAGCAGGAGGGAGCGCCCCCTAAAAGTGGTGGCCGGCAGAGGGGGGCGGGGGTGAGGAGATGCAGGAGTGAAAAGAGCGGCTGGCAGGGCTGAATGCCTGCGTCTGCGGAGACTCACATGCCCCGCCGGACAATCGGCGCCTTCTTCGCGAGCTCAAAGCTGCGTCTCTGTCTCGGGGCTTCATCTCCCTCTGCACGGTTTTGCACCTGCAGGGCTGTTCCAGAAGGCCATCATCCAGAGCGGGACGGCGCTGTCCAGCTGGGCCGTCAACTACCAGCCTGCCAAGTACACTCGGATATTGGCAGACAAGGTCGGCTGCAACATGCTGGACACCACGGACCTGGTGGAATGCCTGCGGAATAAGAACCACAAGGAGCTCATCCAGCAGACCATCACCCCCGCCACCTACCACATCGCCTTCGGCCCCGTCATCGACGGCGACGTCATCCCGGACGACCCCCAGATCCTCATGGAGCAGGGCGAGTTCCTCAACTACGACATCATGCTGGGCGTCAACCAGGGCGAGGGCCTGAAGTTCGTGGACGGCATCGTGGACAACGAGGACGGGGTGACCTCCAACGACTTCGACTTCTCCGTGTCCAACTTCGTGGACAACCTGTACGGCTACCCCGAGGGGAAGGACACCCTGCGGGAGACCATCAAGTTCATGTACACGGACTGGGCGGACAAGGAGAACCCCGAGACGCGCAGGAAGACCCTGGTGGCTCTGTTCACCGACCACCAGTGGGTGGCGCCGGCCGTGGCCACGGCCGACCTGCACGCCCAGTACGGCTCGCCCACCTACTTCTACGCCTTCTACCACCACTGCCAGAGCGAGATGAAGCCCAGCTGGGCCGACTCGGCCCACGGCGACGAGGTGCCCTACGTGTTCGGCATCCCCATGATCGGCCCCACCGAGCTCTTCAGCTGCAACTTCTCCAAGAACGACGTCATGCTCAGCGCCGTGGTCATGACCTACTGGACCAACTTCGCCAAGACCGGGTACGTGCCGCTGCCCGCTGGGGGTCTGCTCTGTCGTCATGGGGGGCTTGCATGAGTGGGGATCCTAGGGGCTCGGACATGCGGGTGCACACGGTGGACACGTGTGCACAGAGACACAACACACATGTGTTAACATGGGACCATTCACACCCATGTGTGGGTCGTGGGCACACAGCCACACAATGCATGTGTGTACATGGGCACATGCTTCCATGGAAACCCACACAACACTGACTGCACAGCACACATGTCCTCATAGCCACACACCACATGTATGTGCATGGACATGTGCCTGTGCAACACAGGTGCATGCAAGGACACATACATGCAGACCATAAAACACATGTGTGTTGGTATCACATGACCATGCATACCCGTGTGTGGGCCACAGGCGCACAGCCACATAATGCACACGTGTACATGGAAACACTTGCATGGAAACCCACACAACATGATGTGCACAGCACATATGTGCATGCCACCACACACCATATGCATGTACATGGATGCATGACAGTGCAACACAGGTGCATGCAGGAACACATGGGCACAGACCACACAACATCTGTGCATGGGTCACACCTGCATTTGCACGCACAACCATGCAGAACACACATGCACGTCCACAGCCCAGCTGCACACACAAACACACCTGCACACAGAGTAAGAGTTACCCGGTGTTCAGGAGCTGGAGACCAGACCCTCACTGCAGGCTGCCTGGTGTTGAAAGTTTTTAGTCACCTCCCGGCGGGGCAGCGTTCACGCGTTGCACCATGTGCTGGGAGCGGGTGGCCGAGCTTCCAATGTAGAGGTGATATTGCCTGTTCTGGAGATTACAGAGTCAGCTACAGACGTGTGTGGCATGCTGGCTGTCCTTGCTGTGTGTCTGCAGGAATGAAGTTAATCTCATGACAACTGTGGAGTGGTTCTGTGTGTGTAAGTAGAGACACAGGGAAATGGATGGGTGGATGGGTCGGTAGGTGGGTAGACAGAGGATTGCATGGATGGATGAGGGACGGACTGGTGGATGGATGGACAATTGACTTGATAGATAATAGATAGATCATAGATAGATCCATACATATGTAGGCAGAATGGATGGATGGGTGGAAGATTGGATGGATGGATGGATGGAATGATGGATGGATGGATGGACGTATGGATGGATGAATGGAAGATTGCATGGATGGATGGATGGACATATGGATGGATGGACATATGGATAGATAGGTAGATGGATAGATAAGTGGATGGACAGATACATGGATGGATGGATGGATAGATACGTAGATACATAGATATGTAGATACATACATAGATATATATAAAGTCAGGTGGGTGGGTGGATGGATAAACAGACAGACAGAGAGATAGACACCTGGAAAAACAGACAGGTAGGTAACTAGGAAGGTGGATGGGTGGATGGATGGATGGATGGATGGATGGATGGATGGATATGGATATGGATGGATGATGGATGGATGATGGATGGATAAGGATGGATGGATGGATGAGGATGGATGATGGATGGATGGATGGATATGGATGGATGGATGGATGGATGGATGGATGGATGGATGGATGAATAGCTGGCTGGCTGGATAAGTAGATAGGTAGGTAGGTGGATAGATGGATGATAAACAGACTATATGGATGGATGGACAATTTGGTAGGTAGAGAGGATAGATGGATGGATGATGGATGGATGGATGGATGGATGGATGGATGGATGGATGGATGGATGGATGGATGGATGGATGGGGATAGATGATGGATGGATGATGGATGGATGGATGGATGGACAGGTTGGTAGATAGAGAGGATAGATAGATGATAGATAGATAGATAGATAGATAGATAGATAGATAGATAGATAGATAGATAGATAGACTGACTACATGGATGGATGGATGATGGATGGATGGGTGGATGGAGAGAGAGACAGGCTAGATGGATGGCGAACAATGGAGACAGAGATATTTAAAGGGTGGACCCTGCACTTGCATGTATGTATATGCTTTTACATATAAATCTTTCCAGAACCAACCACACACACACATGTACATCTGTACACACATGTGTCTGCACACAGATACACACACATGAGGTATCCGTGCATGCATCTAACCCCATGCCTCCCCTCATGCACATGCGGCTTACGTGTCCGGGCGTTTTGTGTCCACACCCATAGCATCTCTCCAGCGCACGAGCTGTGTCTGTGTGTGTGATGGATGGATGATGTCAGCACAGTCACGCATGTGTCCTGAGTGTGAATGTCACCCTGTGGTCACTACTCAAAGGAAACCTTGGTGGCCACAGGCACCAGAGACCCGTGTCCAGCAGGGTCAACCGCTACACACCCCCCACCTTCTGCAGCGATGCTGGCAGAGCAGCCTCCCCGCCTGTCAGCTGCAGACATCACACTGTCACTTCATTTTCTCTTGTCTCATAACATAATTGTGCAAATTAATGAGGTACCGTCCTGTGGTGCCCGCCTGTGCCTCTGTCATTAACCTTGAGCCTCTCACGCTGAATCCCAAATGAAAGCGCTACCGCACCTGGGCGCCATCCATCCCCCATCCCCCATCCCCCCCTTCCTTAAGGTCACTCCTCACATTCCTGCCTTTGGAATACGAAAGGCTCGCTTTGCCTCCTTGACGAAGGACCGCTGTGTTTGTTGAGCGACTGACAGATGTACTGGCTGGATGGATCAGTGCTCTGCGCTGTTGGGGGTTACGGAATGGGTCTGAGAATTTGGAGCTGGGGGAGGGAGAAGGAGAGGCACTCGAGAGAGACGCCTGCTCTTACCACACGCTTCCTACTCCAACTGGGCCTTGGCCGAGGTCAAGCCAAGGTCGTCTTTGCAGCCGCCTGGTTTAGGAGCTGCCGAGTGCGGCTAATGCAGACACACACCAGTCCGGCTTCCCGCAGAGACTCATGGGGTCACACTTGCAGGCTTAGAAGCCGAGCGATCTCGGTTTCATGTGACCAGGAGCACCCCAGTTTCCCCCTCTGTCATCGCATCGCCCCGTGAATCTGTGTTCTTAAGTGCAGGGTGCTGGGGAGTCTCCTCCTTACCCCATTAGGGCCCTGCCTGCATCAGGTCCCCGCTATTGGCGTTCGGTGCATCTTAATTTCAGGGGGGAAGGCCGGGCCCTGCCCGATGGTGCCCTCAAGCCGAGAGCTGTGATTCTGGCCCCTGCAAAGTTGCATCTTTGTCTTGTAAGTTGAGTGACCCCCACGGCCCCCAGAGGAGCGCAGGTGGGGTGACTAAGTGGGCATCCAGACACCCCCCTCCCAGGTCCTTCCTAAACACGCATCGTGGCCACCTTCTGGCAAGCCTCGGGCTCTCTCTGCCCTGGTGTGTCGGGACGTGGACTTTGTAGGACCTTCTTAGCCGGAAAGCTGGTTCCATCCATCATGGATTCCGCCGACCCATGGACGCCATCATGAAACCCAAAGAAACCCTTACTCCTCGGTAGTGCCCCTGCCTGCCCAAGGCTGTGTGCTCTGGGGAAAGGGACGAGAGACCAAGGCAGGTCCTGCATCTCCAGGACCGTCAGCACCCAAGGGAGCTGCAGCCAGGACCTAGGGAGGCATCGGGGAGGTGGGCGACCCCACCTAGTGCTGCTGGTGCTTCTGAACACCCTGATTCTATCCCGAAACCCCCTCTGCCCGGCGCCTGCCTTCTAGGCAGAGAATGTGGACTGGCGCGGGCCCCGTCAGCTCAGGGATGTCCATCGCCCCCGAGGTTGGTGCTCACGGTGCCGCAGCGTTCAGCAAGGTGCCAGGTGAGCTGAGCAGGCGGGGAAGGCGTAAGGCCAGCCTGGAGGAAGCTCCTCACCTGAGCCAAGAGCTGCACCTGCTGAGTGTCCTTCAGGTAACATGGGCGATGGATACTGCGGGGACCCTGCACGCCATGGGGGAAGCTGCTCGTTGCCCAGATGACGCCTGGGATATGCTGTGCCCACATTGTGCTTTGTCGAATCCCAGAAAATAATGTTGGGGTGTGCATTTCGAAGACCGGGAAGCCAAGGAGACTGGGGTTCTTGCTGCCTGCAGCCACTGCCTCGTCTGCTTTTGAGCCACGGGCATCAGGGACTCATTTCCATCCCGCCGTGGCTGTGATCACAGGAGCAGGAGGTGACACTTGGGGGGACACTGAGAGACAGTCGCTGCAGAGCCGTCAAGGTGACCCCATTTGCAGCTGAGTGATGAGCCTCTCACCTGCCGTGGAGACAGACGCGGGTCCCGGTGCAGACGGGAAGCACCTCGTGGAGGGCGAGGAACAGACGCTGCAGCGGGGCACGCTGTGGGGTGCTGCGAGAACTGGGTGCCAGCTGAGGGGCCGCGGGGGGACCTCGAGTGTTAAAGACAACGTGTGCCGGACTCTGGAAAGTGACGGCACTGGGCTGCCGACCGCCGGGGGGTGCGCCAGGGGAGACAGAAGACCTGCAAGTGGTGTGTCGGAGATTGGGGGTGTGGACAGCTTGTTCTTGGGGGCATGGATTTGGGGAACACGGACAAGGTTGTTCTTGGGAGCATGAACAGCTTGTTCTTGGGGGACATGGATGAGGTTGTTCTTGGGGGATGTGGATAAGGCTGTTCTTGGGGGACATGGACAAGGTTGTTCTTGGGGGTTGTGGACAAGGTTGTTTTGGGGGAAACAGGGAGAAGGTTCTTTGGGGACACGGACAAGGTTGTTCAGGGGGGGACAAGGTTGTTCTTTGGGGTTGTGGACAAGATTGTTTTTGAGGGAACAGGGACAAGGTTCTTTGGGGACATGGACAAGGTTGTTCTTGGGGGACAAGGTTGTACTTGGGGGATGTGGATAAAGCTGTTCTTGGGGGACATGGACAAGGTTGTTCTTGGGGGACACAGATAAGCCTGTTCTTGGGGGATGTGGATAAGGCTGTTCTTGGGGGACATAGACAAGTTTGTTCTTGGGGGACACAGATAAGCCTGTTCTTGGGGGATGTGGATAAGGCTGTTCTTGGGGGACATGGACAAGGTTGTTCTTGGGGGACATGGATAAGGTTCTTTGGGGAACATGGATGTTGTTCTTGGGGGACATGGACAAGGTTGTTCTTGGGGGACACAGATAAGGTTGTTCTTGGGGGACAAGTTTGCTTTTTGGGGAACACAAACATTGTTCATGTGGATGTGGATGAGGTTGTCCTTGGGGGACACAGACAAGGTTGATCTTGGGGGACATGCGCAAGGTTCTTGGGGGACATGGACAGGGTGTTATATGAGGAACAAAGTGGACGAAATGGCAAAGTGAGATCTTTGAGTGTTGCCCCAAATAACCCAAACGTGGGGGTTACGTGGAGAATATCAGGATTGGGGGGGCTGGCATTTTGGGGGGCTGGCATTTGTGAAGACTGGCTTGCAGAGATGTTGCAAACTCCACCTTTTGTGGAATATTCTGTCGTTTCGGCGAGTCTCCTACCCGTACTTAGTTCTGTAAATAATCCGGCTTTTCTTTCCTTTACCTTTGCTCGTCTCATTTCAATAACAATAAATGCATCAAAATTAATTAAAAAGATTTAACAGACAAAAAATAAACACAAATAAAAACCCATGAGTGCTACAATGGCAGAGTTGGGGGGCCCTTTTCTTGCATCTGGTGTTTCTTCTAAACGTGTCCACCCCAACCTCTTAGAATTCATGGAATGAGGCTGGATCTGAGGGGGCCTGAGCCTTCGAAGGGTTTGCTAAGACGGAGATTTCTCCGGCAGAGAGAGCCGACAAACGGCGCCTGCTTCCCTGGACGCGCATTTTCTTACCACAAAGGCGGTTTTTGATGGATTTTAATGTATATTATAGTGTGTCTTCTATTGACATCTATTTAGTCTAATTTATTATCTGTTTTCATTGTTAAAAGTATTGACCTCAGAAGCCATTCTTGCCCAAGGAGGCACATTTCCAGCCACGTTTTTGAACAACAGCCTCCAAGTCAGGACTTATCAGCTCCGTGGTGTTGACATCTGTGGTCAGTTCTCCATGCTGGGGTGGGGGGGGGCCTGTCCAGTTCCCTGGAGGAGCATTTGCGTGGCCTGTGCCCACTCAGAGCCCAGGCTGCCTGCATGAAAACAAAAATACCTACAGACATTGCCAGATAACATCTCGAGGTCCAGTCACGCCTTGTTGGGATTCATGCCTCAAAAGGAGTTAATTTTTTTTTTAAAGATTTATTTATTGATGCATACAAGAACTGGGGAGCAGGTCAGAGTGTGGGGGTGAGAGGACTCACCAGAGACAGAGCGGGGAGCAGAACAGGTGGATCCACTGAAATCCACTGCTGAGGGGAGCAGCGGGGAGACAGAGAGGTCTGCTGCGGCCTGTGGGTAGCTCCTGGCCAGGCGGGGATTGAACTCATGCAGCAGAGGCTGCAGATTGCTCCACAGTGATGTGCTCAACCCCTCGCGCCACCAGGGAGGCCCAAAAGGAGTAAAATTTGAAATCCTGAAAATCATCGAAGAGGGTGGCGTGTTTTAGCAAATACTAGAAATATTAGGGCCTGCGAAGGGGAATTATTTCTCTTTCAGGCATCTCTAGAAATTCGTCATTTGATAAATGTTTTATTTTGAACAGGGTACCAGTATTTTATAGTCAGGTTAATATTTTCACAGGCTGGGAATTCTCCCTACAGCTGTGGTCACCGCAGCTCTCCCATCCCCAGGGCACGCATGGTCCCCCGCCATGGTCCATGGTGCCCTCCCACCATCCCATTCTTGCTTCTGCCTCTCCCTTCCCTCCTGGATGCGTCAGATCTGTGGTCACTTTTCAAGTTTGCCTTTAACTTATTTCACTCAGCACCACCCCTTCCAGCTCCATCCAAGTTGCTGCAAATGGCATGTTTTCCTTTTTGACGGCTGCGTAGTATTCCGTGTGTGTGTGTGTGTGTGTGTGTGTGTGTGTGTGTGTGTGTGTGTGTGTGTGTGTGTGATGTATACAGCACATCTTCTTGACCCACTCATGTGTTCTAGGGCACTAGGCTGTAGGGATTATTTTTTAAATAAAGGCAAGAGGAGATTACAAAGACGAGACAACATGGTAGCCGTGTAGGATAAATGCAGATTGCACCTGTTACTGGTCCAGGCCACTGGCATCTCCTATTTTATCTGACGAAGAGCTTTACCCCAGAAACTTGAAAGACAAACCCCAGAACTTGCTTTCATTGTTTTCTCTTTTTCTGTCCCCAGTGACCCCAACCAGCCCGTTCCTCAGGACACCAAGTTCATCCACACAAAACCCAATCGCTTCGAGGAAGTGGCCTGGTCCAAATACAACCCCAAAGACCAGCTCTACCTACACATTGGCCTGAAGCCCAGGGTGAGGGACCACTACCGGGCCACCAAGGTGGCCTTCTGGCTGGAGCTGGTGCCTCACCTGCACAACCTCAACGAGATATTCCAGTACGTGTCCACCACCACGAAGGTCCCGCCCCCCGACATGACCTCCTTCCCCTACGGGACCCGGCGCTCCCCCGCCAAGATCTGGCCCACGACCAAGCGCCCGGCCATCACCCCCGCCAACAACCCCAAGCACGCTAAGGACCCCCACAAGCCGGGGCCCGAGGACACCACCGTCCTCATCGAAACCAAACGGGATTACTCCACCGAGCTGAGCGTCACCATCGCCGTGGGGGCCTCCCTGCTGTTCCTCAACATCCTGGCGTTCGCCGCGCTCTACTACAAGAAGGACAAGCGGCGCCACGAGACGCACCGGCGGCCCAGCCCGCAGAGGAACACCACCAACGACATCGCGCACCTGCAGAACGAGGAGATCATGTCCCTGCAGATGAAGCAGCTGGACCACGACCACGAGTGTGAGTCGCTGCAGGCGCACGACACGCTGCGGCTCACCTGCCCGCCCGACTACACGCTCACGCTGCGGCGCTCTCCCGACGACATCCCGCTCATGACGCCCAACACCATCACCATGATCCCCAACACGCTGACGGGGATGCAGCCCTTACATACGTTCAACACCTTCAGCGGAGGCCAGAACAGCACCAACCTGCCGCACGGACACTCCACCACGCGGGTATAGCTCAGCGGGGCCCTCCCCTCCCTCCGTGCCCCCCGGGCCCCACCCAACGAGCAAGAGAGGGTTTCCCGTTGACTTCAGACACGAGAACACGGGAGAGCAAAGGGGCGGCCACTTCCTCTTCCCCCCACCCATGGACCCGTCCCGCGGGGCTGCCCCGAGCTCGCGTGTGACCCCATGACATGCGGCCGGCGCCCGCGACAGGTGCAGTCCCGCTTCAAGGCCGGGTCCTGGCCGTGCCCGAGGTCACCAGAGACTCTTCACGCTCTGGAACTCAACCGGGGCTCCCCAAGTTCGTTTTTTTAATTTGGATCGAAAATACAGAAAGTCCTTCCCGTGCCGTGCGTACCCCTCGGTGGCTCTGCCTCCGCGGAGACCGAGTCCCGGCGCCCCCAGCCTTCGGCGCTGTCGCCCGGACTGGAGGGCGAGCGGGATCGTGTGCGGAACGTGCGAGACCTGACTCTGCCCCTCCCGTGCTTCTGTGCGGAGAGACGCTTCGCCGGTCTGGACTCTATTTAAGAAACTTTGTAAAAATGAAATTGTACATAGCTGTGCGTTCCGACACACACAGGGGACACGAGGCAGAACAAAACAAAGCTTTTATTGGTGTTTTCCGTTTGAAAGAGCTTCTAGCGAGATTGTGCTTCCATGTGCTCCATCTGTATATAAAAGTAGAGCTCGGCCCAGCCACACGCGGCCCGGGGGAGCTCAGTCCTCCGAGGCCCCGGCGGTGAACGGAGACCTGGGGTTCGCGTCGGCGGGCGGGGCAGGCAGGGTCTCCGGGCGCACCCCGCGGGGTGCTCGCTGCATGCACGGCATTCTTAGGACACCATTCATTTGCGAGGTTCAGGGGCTCAGGGGCCCGGTGCAGGCAGCGCGATGCCAGGGCCCCTCTGTGGCTCTGCTGGTCTCCGGCCAGGCAGGGCAGACACCCCGGGGCTGCTAGGAACGAGCGAGCTGGCTCTGCGGGCGCCCCAGGCAGTCGGGTTCCCAGCAGCTGCGCCAGGCTGTGCCCACGAAGGACCTGCTCGGCTTCCCTGATCCGATGGAGCGGACGTGGGTGTCTGGGTGTGGTCCCCGAGGCCGCCATTGATCAGCACGTCGGGGGGCTGTTTCCTTACTTCTTCCTACCCCTTGTGGGATCCAGCCGGCGCTGGTCTGAGGGGGTGGCTGTGTGGGGTCTGTGTGTCCGTCACCATCGATGGGAAACAATGGCAGGGGCGTGGGCTGCGGTCTCCCGAGAGACCGTGGGAAGGACTCCCCCATTTTGAGTGGGCGTCCCGGGGGCTGAGGTGTGCCCTCCGCAAACCTTTCCATGTTCTCATCTCATTGTCCTCCAGGAGCGTGGGAGGGGGTCCGAGGGAAAGGCAGGGATGACCCGTGCTGCTGTTTTGGCCCGGCGGAAGTCCTTGCAGCGTCTACACTCAGTGGGCAGGTAACGTGCCTGAGCTGGAGGCGACCGCCGGCCTCCCTCGCCCTGGCCAGGATGGGTGTCGTCCAGCAGCTGCCCCTGCGCCCACAGCTCAGCTGTCCAGGTGCCCGCTAGAAACGCAGTTCTTAGAAAAGCATCCCGGTCACTCCCCGCATTCCGTTGCTTCTCCAGCTTGGCCCCCAGCGCGACGCTTTGCACATGCCGACGTGAGCAGAGCCCCAGGCAGCAGCTGTCCTGAGGAGACCCACCCCCCCCCCGTCCCCACTGCGTCCCCCGCGAAAGCTCATTGGCCACTCGGCCCCTGGTCCACCCATCTCTCAGCTGTCTGTCCCCGGCCCGCCAGGACACGGTCTTGGCCACCACGTGGGTTGGTATGTCTGTGATGTGAATCTGTTTAGTATTTCCACTTGTCTTCTGCAATATGCACAGTAACTTATCAGGCTTGTGACATTTGGGTAAGGGAAAAAAAAAAAAAACACAGTCATTGTTAAGTGAAATAACTTTAGCTTTTACAGAGGATTATGACGAAAAGCAATTTAATACACCTTCAACGATACCTTATTTCTACATGGAAAGAAGTTATAGAATCTTCATAGAGTTCTATGAGCATAAAATATACTTGCTATCTATAAAAAAGAGGAAATAAAGACCAAAAAAATGAGAAAAAAGATAAGTCAAAAATTAATAAAAAAAAAAAAACACAACTTTGGTAAGCTTTTATTCTCAAGCTCCACAGGCACGCAGGGTTCAGTGGTTTGTTGGGTTATTATTTCGCGGTTTTGTTTTTCATTTTGCCTTAAGTAATGATAGAAGATATATATGGCTGGATACATATGTATAAACTTTTCAGCAGCATTTTTAATAATAAAATATCACAGTATTTTCTAATGCTTTGTGCAAATAATTACGCGTCCTTCCTTCTTTCGTAGCTGGTTTAACCCCGTTTGCTTTTGCCCTCTGCCCCGCTGCTTGCGGGGTGCAGACAAGCTCCCCAGGAAAGGGGGTGTCTGCAGCTCCGTCTGGCTTCATCATCTTCCACTGTGGGGCTTGGGCGCACATAGTCACTTCCTCACGCTGTCAACCTGGTTGGGGCCAGTCTTCAAGCAGAGTCAGGTCTTCGACTGGACAGCGCCCGAGGCGGAAGATCGATGTGACCTGGTGAGAGCTGACGGCTGGGACCACCCTCCTAGCAGGCCCTGCTCCCACCTGATGTCTCTTAGTCC